CAATAACTAGTCCCTTTCTATCACGTTCCCTTGCGAAACTGTCTTTATGGCACCGATAGCAATAAACTCATACACTGATAATCCTCCATCTGAAATTATCTTGCTTACTTACTTAGCGGCACTTCTCCCACCGAGGAAGTACATTCCTTAACCACGGGGAAGTCGTCTGTCTGGTCCACTGTGTCCCTACTGCCTGGGACAGGTCCAGGTACAGAGAAGAAGCTCAACAAATATTTCTTGCGTGAACAGAGTGGCGGATACAGGACTGTCATTTGAAGCAACAAATCCCCTTTATAAGATAACAATTTAGTAAGAGACCAGAACCGCTACAAAGTTATGCCGAAAGAGGTCTGAACAATGCACAGGATTGAAAGGACAGACAAAACGAGTGAAAACAGTGCGGTAGGAATGCGCTGAGCCCCCAGACTGAATATTTGAATGGCAATGAAATGGGGTTCACCCTCCGATTCTGGGGTGTGTTGCACGAGCCGTGGGGGTGACACCAGCTTGGTAAAGACTGTCCGCCAGAGCAAGGAGGGCTCCTGGATTTCAGAACAGCGGTTCCGTAAGTGCCGTTGCCAGGAGTCCACCCAGGGCACAGCGGGGCCGGGCAAGTCACATGCTGGGACTGATCATCGTCAGACCCATTCATGCACCTTCGCTGCTGTGGACCCAGCCCCACGGGGTCAGGGCCTCATTTCCGCAAACGACCGGCCGCTCTAGTCAACCGCAGTTCCCACACATAATTAACTTCAGCAGTTTCTCTGCTCAGACCACAGCTTTTAAATCCCAACTATGTCGACATTCTACATCCTACATGTATGTTTTATAGGTTTAGTCTCATCATACGCTTTTCCTCTCCATAGATCACGATATTAGCTAAGAAACAATTACAGATTCTCCTCATTTAATCTGAGCATTTAAAGAAAATAAAAGGATTTTAATTTGTTGTGACGAATATCGTAAACTGCTCTCTATCAAAGTAGGTTTCATTTTAAATCTGAAATTAATGGCAAAAAACTTTGTTTCTTAATGCAAGCTATGTGATTTTCATCTCCACAGTGTGAAAAGTAAAGGAATGGTTTCAATGACGTCAATACCCATCTTTTATTGTCCCCATATTATGGGTCGGGCATAACATATTTACACTTTTCCAACATCTTTTCTAACCCTCATAATAATGGTTTGAAGTAGGTAATATCATTCCCATTTTACAGTTGAAGAAACTGAGGCTCGAAGAGGTTAAATAACCTGCCCAAAGCCCTGTTGCTGTGAGTGGTAGAGGTGAGATTAAAAATAATCCCATCCCCTCATAATCCTATAAAACGTTCAACTGCTTGATTTTTTAAGTTTCAAAGTCTAAGACCACACAACAGTCAGATAAAGAATCAACTGCAAAGGTGTTTTTGTTTCACATCTCCGTAAGCAACAACTCCCCTGCCCTGATTGCAGGCTCACTACTGGCAAAGATTGAACCTTAATTTATCTCCATATCCCAGGACCTAAAGCAGCTGTCAAAAGAGAGTGACAGGGGATGAAAGGAAGGGAACCGGGAACGTGGGCAACGGCAGAAACCCGTCTCCTAACGCTCACGGAGGCTTACTGAGCACCAGAGGTACGTGAGTTCACTCCCTGTGGCAGGCGCTATTGTCCCTGCTTTCACCCACGAGGCAACTGCAGCATGGGGTTAAGGAACATGCAAATGACGAGTCAAGATTAGGGTCCGGGTGATCTGGCTCCAGGGCCTAAGCTCTTAACCACTGTGCCACACGCCCTCTCACTTCCAGAATAAAGGCAGCATCTGCCACGAGGGACACATGGCTTCACCCTCAGGCCTTTCTCAATAATGTAAGTTTTAAGTAGACAAACCAAACAATGATATACATATAAAAAAGGGGATAACTTTATGCAAAACCTACAATCTTATTAGCTACTCATTTTAACCTAATCTTGCGTGGTGTGTACTGTTGGTTGTTTTAGCTTTTCTTCTTATGGGCTCTCATACCTAGGATTTGTGTGGAACAGAGGTTGATTGAAAAGCGGGAAAAGACAAGCCAGGAAGAATGTTCTCAGGACCTGGAGAGTTCAATCTGGGTCCAGGTTTAGATTTAGTGCCGGGGTTTCTAAGATGCAGCAATGGAACCACTGCTCTGGATAGAGAACAGAGTAAGCCCAGGGCAAGTGGTGCCGAAAAGTCATACAGGAAGGGAGCAAGGTCAGATATTGTGGTGGGAAGGTCAGGAGGGCAGGGAGAGCAAAGAGCACCCGTGCACAGATAACGCCTGACCATCAGGCCGCAGAGATGGGCTAGTAATTCCTGGAAATGAGTTAGAACAGGACAGGTGGCAGGAACCAACGCAGAAGCCCAGTCCTAGGACCTGAGCTCCCTGGGGCCTAGAGGAGTGGAAAGGGGTAGGCAAGAAGAGATTTTGAACCAGATCAAGCTGATGGCAAAAGACAGCTAGAGGTTAAGGCAGAAGTCTGAGGGCCGAGACTAAAATGCAAGCTCTGGCTACTGAGTCCCAAGTAACTGGGACTACAGGCATGCACCATGATGTCTGGCTAATTTTTCTATTTCTAGCAAAGAGGGTCTCACTCTTGCTCAGGATGGTCTTGAACTCCTGAGACCAGCAATCCTCCCGCCTCAGCCTCCCAGAGTGCTGGGATCACAGGTGTGACCCATCATGCCTGGCCCTAGTCTATAATTAACAACTTTATTTAGTTTAATCAAGCACAAGATATAACAATACGATCGATACATGCACACATGTTTACATACAGGGAAAAAAGAAAATTATAAAGGCCCCTATGGAGGAGGTTCTGTGGCAGACCTCAGTGTTTTCTCTCACCCCTCCCTGGTCGGCCTGCTTGTACTCTTTGTTGAAGAGCATGTTTATGTGCTACTTTTTTTCCACTCTGCCCTACATTCAACATAGTGAGCATGAATATTAATTAGGTGATTTCTGCTAATTAGTTTCCTCAGGACCATGTTCACTGTCTTTTGGTTTTGATGGGTCAACAAAGTGGCGAATTATCCCAGTCATAACATAAATGACCCTGCCAAGAGAAATCAATCCAGAAAAACCACTGTTACCCTGACGTGGCTGGCTTCTTTTTGAAAAGGTTAGCACATATTAGAAGAGCACCGGTTGGCTGACTGACTCCCAAGGTCAGTGGTGAAAAGTCGACAAAAATGGAACAAGTACGAATATTGCAAAAAATTCCAATAATGAGAAAGCTTATCGGGAAAGATGATCTCAGTGCCAAGATGGTATATGGAAATTGATCACAAATTTAGCTTTAATTTTTAAGATCACTCTCTCTCTCCTCTTGCTCTGTTTTTTCTCCTTATTTTATGCATAAAAATGCAACCAGCCTGAACTAAAAGCAAATTGGTTTAATTCCCCGGAGGGAGCGTGAACAAATTTTCCCAGCAACTTTCTACTAGAGGCATTTGTGTGTGGGTATGTGGACGGAATGTGAAGCAGTCAGCTACTTAAACCAGTCGCCAAATGAAACATTACCCATTTCAAAATGCCCTAAAACAGTGTCACCAATTAAAATAATGGGCATGGGAGAAAAAAAAGTGGCACTCCCCAAAAAAGTAAATATTAGGTGTGGTATGTGTATGGCAGGGGGTGGAGGTGGTACAAAGGAAGAAGTAACATCTGGGGGGAATTAATCCCCTTTTAAAGGCAAATCTGACATAGGAGTGCTAGCAGGAGGGCTCTTTGATGGGATAGAAGAAGAGAGTAAAGAACACACTCAATAATTTCATCAAATTGAAATTTCGGCAGTTTGCCTAAATTGCCCAACCATTAGACTCTTACAAAGGCATTTGTATGAGCCCACTTTTAAAACAACAGGTAAATAGAACATGGTACGTGTAAACACTAAGGATTCTTTTCTCTTTTATGGCCAAGACTCCTAGCGAAACGCTGGTCTTTCAAGTACCACCAAGGGTGGTATGTTCCTTCAGTTCGTTCATCATACACTTGGCCACCAAATGCTGGCCACTTCGTTCTGAGGACGGACACTCAAGATATTCTTACAGACCTCAAAGAGCCTCCACGCCAAACGCTGGAGCCGTTCCACCTTCCACGTTCTGTAACGTGGCTGGTCACAGAACAGCCCTCCCCTCCTCCTCTCTCTGTAGGAGGCATAAACGATGCTAGTGTTTCTGTCCAGGTGTTTCCACAACCCGTGGGCTCTGCTTGGCCGCGACCAGCGGCCTCCTCTACCCGGGACCTGCACGCGGCCGAGAGCTCATTCGGCCTTCAGCCTGCACATCTTTGATGCTTACTGTGCACTTATTCTCTTTAACTGTTTTTCTCCAAGTGATTGTCCTAAAAATCTGACCAAGGGCGTGAAAGCGAGGAGCACACCAGCCGCCCCTGCGTTGGTTCTCCTGACACCCAAGACCCTCTCCCGGCCCGATGCCATTTCAGATTTCTCTGCCGCCGCGCTCCCCGCGGTAGGTTGCTCGCACATCTAATTATCTGCCCTACTGAAAACAAACTCACATCTCTGCCCTTTGTCTTTGCTGTCACCATTACTTCCTTCTCCCACAAGTGCAGACATTAAGAAATCCTATATACAGTTAGTTTTCTTGTTATACTCTATGATTATATTCACTATTAAAAAAGCTGTCAAGTAAAAACAATAAATTAAATTATATTATAGCCACTCCCACCTCCAGAGACTATTACGATAGTCTAATAGTGATATTAAGAATTTCAACTAGATCTTAATTAAAAATATAAAAGTGGGCATATCAATCTACTGGAGTATATAGACGCTAAAGTAACCTACTAAGCTCACAAAAACGACGTGTGTCATCTCTCTCATCCACGGCTCTTCTCAGCCCGTCAGGAGTCTCGTTCAGAGTTTCATCTCTTATTTAAAAAGCTGCTCACAGCTCCTGGCACCCCCAGTTGCTTGGTGGGGTGGGGCTGGGGGAGCTGAGCGGCCCACCCCGCCGCCGGCCAGCTGGGGATTACCTGCGCAGGAGCGGCGATCTCGGTAGAAGCCGTCCCCACAGGCGGACACACACTGCCCGCGCTGCATCAGCAGGGGCGGCTGGCAGGACGCGCACTCCAGCCCGCTGGAACACGAGGCGCACTGAGGCTGGCAGGCTGGCTCCAGGCAAGGACGGAGAAAGGAAGAGGGATGCTCCGATTAGTTCAAAGACACTACCCCCGTGCTGACGCTTACACAGCCCAGTCCTGAGGCTCTGGGCCCACGTACAACAGGAAAGGCAGGAAAACAATTTTAGGAGCCATCATTGCTAAAGCCCACCGTTCATGTCAGGCACTGTTTGAAGGGCTTTACACAAATGATGCATTTAATCCTCACGACAGCCCTACAGATATTATTAATCTCAATTCTACAGATGAGGGACAAGCTCAGGGAGGTTAAGTGACTTGCCCAAGGTCACATGAAGCCAGCATCCGAAGCCGGGCAGTTTGGCTCAGGAGTATGCGTCCTTTGCTTCTTATCCAACAGCCTCCAATATCTCTGTCACTCAGCCTTTTTGCAAGAAGATCCCTTGCCCCCTTTTCTTTACATTCTCTGGCAGATATAAATGACTTTCAAAAAGGTTAAAGATTATATGAATCAGGACAGAAAGTAGGGAGAAGTGAATAATTATAAAAATAATAAAAGCATCTAGCCCTTATTGAAACCTGACCACATCCTAGACAGTAGTCTAGGCACCCAACGTGTACTGACACACTTCACCCTACAGAAGCCCTCTGAAGAAGGTGCTAGAATTACCCTCACTTTACACATGAGAATAGTGAGGCGCAGAGAGGTTAAAAACTCACAGCCATGGTGTGAACCACATACTCTTAATGGATAATTAACCTCGCAAATCAGAGATAAAGAGAAATAGTGACAAAGATTTGACCTTAACCAAGCCAAACTCTCCCAGGTAAAATCACCTTCTCGGATGTGTAAGAGTTCTGAAATGCACATGAACCCATTCTGGATTCTCTGGTAACTCACAAGAGTTAAGTTCTGTTACCAGTCACCTATGTGAGATTGAGCAAGTTGGTTAATTTCTCTGGCCCACAGGTTCCCCATTTTCAAAATTAGAAAGTTCTAGTAAGTGATCTTGAAGGTCTATGCCAACTCTAAATTTCTATCCTGGATTAACTAAGTGTTTTAATAAGATGCTAAGCATCCTGATGATATTACTATCCTTGAAAGTCTTCGAAAATGAAAAAATCCACGGTGACTACTTAGCAGCCATCTGATCTCCACATCACCTATCTCCCAATGATCACTAAAACACCTGTAAAATGTTAGAAGACCTGCAGGTAAAGGGACCAAGTAACCTCTGGATGACATTACCACCTTCTAGTGGTTTTTAGACGTTGAGCATTTCCTGCATTCACGACCCGCTCAGACAATACTGCGTCTCAGTTTGAGAATCACAACCTTCGAGGAGTTTCGCGATCTACCGTACAACACCGCCGCTGGGTTGTCCGCTCAGAGCCATACCTAAACAGAGACTGCCAGCCTGGTAAAATCCCAGGCCACAGCTGTGCACACACCGCCCATTCTGCAGCAACTTCGTGGGATCCTGGCAGAGGTCACAGTGGTCTGGAGAGTGAGAGCAGGTCAAGCAGTCTGGGTGGCAATGAACTAAAATCAAGGACAAAGAAGAGGAGAACTCAGTAAAGTCCACATACGATTTCTCTTACATTCCTCAGAGAAAGTATCTACAGGGGATATAAAGTGATACAGAACATGAAGAAAACTGTGGGACGTCGGTGTGAAAAAGGCATTTCAGCGCAAGGTTTCAAGGATACTTTCCTTGTCTGAAATACTATCACTCTCTCCTGGAACCCCAAATTGAAGATGCTAAAAAAGCAGGTTTATTAATGCTTCTCCCTGCTGAAATATCTCCAGAAACAGGAATGACTACTTCCATAATACATGATTTAAACAGATTCAATAATTTATGATATCTGAGATGTTCTTGCTAAGCTTTGACATGCATAAGCAGTTCAGACACAAAACCTACAATGTTTAAAAATAGCTATTTTTACCTAAACAAAAGTACAGTCAGTTTCTTTTTCTCTAAAATTTCAAATCTCATTCCCAACAATTGGGATTATCACTGAACTTAGTGGTAATTGTCAGCAAAGGACTTTTTTCGAAAGGTTGTGAAGTTGTCAAGGACTTGATTTTCGATGTCGAGTACGTAATAATATGCTGAATGTTTGCTTTGAAAAGCCTGGAGAGCCACTTTGGTGAAGGTAACGTAATTAAACCACAAAGTTGCTTTGCCTTTCCCTTGATAAACTCTTCAGGGAAACACTGCGATTAGCCAAAATAAGTTGGGTGCAACAAGAGCAACTGCCAATATGAAAAATGGTGGACCGTGAATGAAAACAACTAATTATGAAATATGAATGGAAGAAAATGTCATTTCTCCAAGACAGACTCAGCTTATAGGCAAAGTACTGCTCAACCAGAGCAACTCCAGTGCTTGCCAACAATTATTAACTGGAACTAATTCAACCTCAGGTGATTTGAAAGCAGAATTGCAGAACAAGTAGATAAAATTTTCTTTTGGAAGAAATTAATGAGTCTTTAAACTTTAAAAACTCATTTGAGAACTCCAAAAGGAACCATCTGTTTAACAGCTCACCTTACAAAAAAGAAAAAGGACATCCACAACAAACTTTGAGCAATTATTCTTGTATTTTCCACAGTGGAAGACAGATGCTCCTTCACAAGTGTTTGAACATCACTGTTATTTGATTTTCACAGTCATTTTGCAAGACAGATAAGGTGTATTTTGTCAATAAGAAAATAGGGCCAATGACTTGTCCAAGGTCACATACTCATAAATAAGTTGAGTTTGGCAGTTACATGGACAAAGATTAATTTTTATCATTTGTTAGAAAAATTAGGAAGAAAGAAACAAACCCATTGGGTGAGTACAGAAAAAGCAGCAAGATGGCAGGTGGGCTGGGAAATAGGATCTCTCTAAATTTTTTGGCAGAAAAACTACCTCAGTAGAAATAAATGGGACACGGACCTACCTGACGTGCAGTCGGGACAGCACTGTCCCTTCACCTCCACGGCCAGTGTGGCCACCGGACATGGTGGGCAGGAAGGCTCGTAGCACGTGACCTGCGCCCCTCGGCACTCGCACACTTTGCAAGGGCCGTCCTCCCATCGCTCTCCCTCCTGCGAGAAACAGAAAAGACTGACGGTGCCACCAGGGTGCAGGATTCAGAAGAGAGTTTGCTCCTGAAGAACTTACAATCTCCATGAGGACAGAGTGAAGGCACCTTACCAGGACTCTGCCACACCCAACTCTGAAATAGGACAACGGTGGACGAGTCCCAGATTTAAAAGGACAGAATTTCTCCTTCTTTGTTTATAACTGGTTTATTTTAATGCAGAACACCAGCAGAACAATTGTGGGCACACCCAGAGATAAACTATAAAAGTGCTCTGGGGCTACCAGAATAGGCAAGAAGCATTTAAAATTTGTTTTTCAACCTAGTTCCCCCAAAACACCACGGGAGATTACTGTGTACCTAGTGATTAGCAGGTACATTAAATGCAATCTCTAAAACGACACAGGAAAGCAGAGCTGAAATCCTGAATTTCCTCACGGTTACTATAGTAAGAATAACAGTCCAGTCATTGTACTCTAAAAACTCAAGCTTTTGCAGGCCCGCTGTTAATGGGCTGTAGATGTGCCACGCGCTTTCCCACACTAAAGCCAAGCAAATCATGATAATAAACATTAGTACTTTAACAGAATCCAAAGTGAATCATAACGAGCAATTTCTTTTTGCTCTCAGGGAAGAGACAGAGGTTCTTACCAGAATGAGGGAGGGAAAACAGGAGAAAACAGCAGATTTTAAAGTAAAAATTTGATAAAATTGTGTATTAAGCTAACTGATGTCAACATTCCAAACAATTATTGTGACAGTATTTAGCAGAATGAAAGGCAAATGGTAGAAAAATGAGGAATATTATCTTGAGAAGGCAGAAGTACTTTTCTTCCATAGCAAGACAAACTGGTTTCCTGGCCCCTTATTTTAGAACCTCCGAAATTGTAAGACTGCTTGTGTGAACAAACATGCTCGCGTTTTCCCTTTGAAAGAAACCATTCAGCGTTGTCCTGCAAACAACCTAGAGAGAATGAACACCCAATATTGTTTGCAGAGCAAACATTCGCAAACCCAAGCAGCTTTCTTCAGTGTTTTGCAGTACATGAAATTCCACTGACAGATAAACTGAGTCTTCTAGGCCAGAAAAAAATGGGGAAGAGAAAATCATCACAAGAAAGGGGAAGGATACATGTAGGAGCTTGTAGCTAGAGAATTATTAATTGTCAACTGTACAAAACGATAAGCTAAAGACCAAAAGTTCAATAGATCAACATCTAATTGATCATTAAGATTCTTAATTCCTGACCACAATGCCATCAAATGTGGCTGTTAAAAATACTAAGGCTAAATACTAAGTTTCCCTGTGACAGTTCATGGAGATCATTACTTACAACAATTTTATAGTGATTTATGCGCAAGTTATACTTACTGGAATACGTTTAACTGCACTAGCATTTGAGGACATCTAGGAACAAAGAGAAATGTATTTATTATACCACTGAAAACACCACCAACTTTCATTAGGAGGTATCTATTTTTCCCCAAGTAACATGCAACCTCATTCATTTGCTATGAATAGAAATAAAATCTATCTTATCAAAAACAAGAAAAGCATACCATTATGAAATAGAGACAACATGCCTCAGAAGTATTTCTGAATTCTTATTCTTACTTTGTGCTTGAGCCCTGGGCTTTAATTTTCCTCAATATGAAGCACTTCGCAGCCGAGAGATCTAAATTCGTAAAGGCAAATTCTTGAATTCTGCATGGTACCAGAGTATTATGGAGAATTGTGCTTATTTAAAACCACTTGGTTTTCTTAATTCCACTGGGTCTAATTTGCCTCCAAAAAAGAGTGGGAAAATTGATACCATGATTGAGAAAATACAAATTTAACATTTATAAGGAGCCTTTAATCTCCTAAATTCTTAAGAAACAACAATGAGTAAATTATGAAATACTGCTATGGAACAATGCTAACAGCACAATAATATCAATGCTTTTAGCTTTTTAAAAAGTGTGCCAGGCACTGTTCTAAGTGCTTTATACTTACCATCTCTACAGCCCCACAGTGAGCACTGTGGCAGATACAACAGCAAAAACTGTCACCATTTTACAAGGAGGATTAAGTAACTTGCCCAAGATCGCAGCACATGGCAAAGTAGGGATTCAAACCCAGCACCTACACTGTGAACCCTGCCTCCCAGAAGACACAGAAACACGGACGGGATGACATACAATTTACCCAAATCCCAAAGAACAAGTGTAGGGGAATCAGTTCACCAAAGCATTTAATCCTATTCTCACCCAGCAGCCTCCTCTTACCACAGTTTTGCTTTCTGAGGTTTCAGTTACCCGCGGTCAATCACGGCGGGAAAATATTAAATGAGAAATTCCAGAAATAAACGATTCATCAGTTTTAGATTGTACCCCGTTCCAAGTAATGTGATAAAATTGCGCCATCCTGCTCCACCCTGGCCAGGGCGTGAATCCTCCGTTTGTCCAGCATATCCGAGCTGTAGACGCCACCCGCCTGCGAATCACTTAGAGGCCATCTCAGTTATCAGATCAGCTTTCGTGGCATCACAGGGCTCGTGTCCAGGGGAACTTTATGTTACCTAACAAGGCCCCGCAGTGCAACAGCGATGCTGGCCACTCGGATATGCCACAGAGAAGCCATAAAGTGCTAAACCGTGTGCCACGGTTACTAAGATCTATGGTGAGAATGAATCTTCTAGCCATGAAATTGTGAAGAAGAAAAAAGAAATTCATGCTGGTTTTGCTACTGCACCTCAAACTGTAAAAGCTATTGCCACAGTGTCTGGTAAGTGCTTAGTTGAGATGAGAAAGACATTAAATTTGTGGGTGGGAGACACGAACAGAAACGTGTTTGGATCGACGGCAGTAGGGTTCAGTAGCATTCGGGGTTTCGGGCATCCACTGAGGTTCTTGGAACGTCCCCAGAGGATTAGGGACGACTACTAGAGTCCTACTCCTCCTATTGGTCAATCAGGCAGTCGTACCGGTGACCAGCAGGCATATTTTGAAAAACACAACGAATTTACCAACATTCTAATGCCCAACATGAAAACTACAGACTGCATGTTAATACACAGGGCAAATTGAAGAAACTAAGGTAAATATTCTTACCTTTGGGTAATGGAAAAGTACAAACACAAGGAGAAATAAAACCTTAGTAAATGGAGTTCTGCCTCACATCGAAGCCATCACAGTCCCGTCCGAACAGAAATCTAGGGCCTGGTCACCATCCACCACGTCCACTGCCTACTCCCTAAACCAAGCCGCCACCCCTTCACTTGGACTATCGCGAAGCACGTCCAACTGGATCACCTCCCTGCAGTCTGGTCCCCTTCTGCCGCTCACTTGTGGCAGCCAGAGTGGTCCTTCCAGGAGAAACTGAGCTCACAGCACTGCTCTGCTCAGAGCTCCCCCTGCCTCAGGGTAAAAAGCCCTGCCTTCCAGGCTACTTGCTAGAACTCACCTCCGACTTCTTCCTCCCCTCACCCCACTTTGTTCCAGCCACACTCGACGTCTTGCTATTTCCTGAACCTGCCACACACACTTCTGCCTCAGTGCCTTTGCATCCATTGACCCTCTTCCTGGTGTGCTCCCCCCATATATCCACGTGGCTCGCTCCCTCCCTTCCTTCATGCTCTGCCCAAGGTCCTCCCCAGGGCAGGACTTCCCTCTTCATCTTGTATCAAAGAGCATGCCCCACCCCCCTGCCCCCTCCTGCCCAGCTGCTCTCTAGACCCCTCAGGTGCTCTATCCTTCTGGGCGGTGCCCCTCGCACCTCCCGTGTGTGTTCTTCTCCGATGCTAGACAGCGGCCCCACCGCGAGAGCAGGGGCTCCGCTGTTGTGTTCACTTCTGTGCCCCCGCACCTGGCGCACAGTAGGTGTGCAATGCCATTTGTGGAACAGATGGACGAGTAAAAGAGATGAGAAGGTAATGTCTCCTCATTAGATTACTTTTGAATGAATTTTTAATAGTTTTCGGTTATTAGCCTGATACTCACAAAGTCTCCATTTTCTTCATAAACACAATAACCGTTCCTCGAAATGCATTCAGGACAGCACTTCCCATCTAAGTGAATTAATTCTTCACCCTGTAGAAATAAGGGTTGCAGTGGCACAGATCAAATTAACATCTCCAGGTAGCGCTGCTAAATCGAGAAGCAGCTGGTTCCCTGACTGGAATGAGAAAGCTCGGCGCCAGCGCCGTTCGCCGCAGCCCACCCCTGCCACCTCCCCGGCTGTCTTCCTGAGCAAAGTCCAGTCAACACAGCACACCCCGCCCAGAGCCTTTTCTTCCCTGCTCTGGTGATACCTGTGCTCTGATCTCTCCATCATTTCCACCCTTGACCAGGAGCTCCCATGAATAAGAAGGATGGCCAAGATTAGTGCTATAGTCTTGGAAAATTATGAGTTTCAGAAAAGGATGACGCTATCTTGAAGATATAAGGTTGGAACTTGTGACTTTGGTTTCATCAACAGCATGCAAATCAAACCAGCCGTTTTCCCTGAATACAAAATCAGACATCCCTTCATTTGCAGATGTAGTCTCAGGCATAAATTAAACAGTAGAAAATATTTTTTACTCAATATTCTGAAATTCTTAATGTTGGCCAACTCACATCAAAACTGTTTTTAAAATTGTAAAAGGAAGAAAAGAAATTTGGAGGGTAGATGTTTAACTTTCAAAGTCTTATCACTTTCGTTTCTCAATATCAATACTTTAAAATTTTTATTTCTTATTACAAAATAATAAATGTTTGCTGTGTTTTAATAATTCTGAATTCTGTAATTTAGAAAGTATAATTCACTGAAGTCCTATCTCCCAGGGAATCTGCTGTTAAAAATACAATCCCTGTTTACAACTTTTCATATATATTCACCAACATCTAATCTATATGCTAATATTATACACTAATGTATATCTGTAGGCTAAAGAGTATTTTTTATATATCTATAGGCTAAAGAGTATTTTTTAAAGCACTTCCCACTTTCTAATGATATATCTACTTTCTAAAGAATGGTAATGTTTCCCTAGTTAATATGTAATTTGGGGTCTACATTATATTTAAAAGGACAAAAGCCATGTTAAATGAAAATGAATAATGCAAATTTGCATAAACAGAATAATCACAATGATATTTTATGTTTGAACATAAACATTACACTAAAGACAAATATTTGAAAGCATTTGCTGCCTTTGGACGCACTGGATGTCTCTGATATCATTATGGACAGGTTTTTCAGTCTCTTTTCTACTTTTCTTGAGTCTTCAAAATTTTCTAGAATAAATATCCATTACTTCAATGAGGGAAAATATAAACTTTTAAAAGCAACACAAAAATACATAAATGATTATAACTTTTCATAGTGTCTAAAAAGATATTTCAAAAAGAAGAGAGTTATATAGATTGCCGCCCATCAAAATTTTATGTTGGTCAGAGGCCAGCAGAGAGCTGTACGGGTGCTATCGAGAGAAGACGTATTTACATATAGATTGTTTTGCAGAAACGTGACAGATCAGCCGGTAATGAAGGCGTAACCCAGAAACATACCGAATTTGCTTTTGAAGCACATAAAGGGGTTTATATGCATGTAATCTAAGTCACTTAAAACAATGTTCTGAAATAAGATGGAGTCTGTGTACGTCTATTAAAAACAAAACGCATGAGAGATTCTTGAGTACCCACTACGATACACACAGACAAAACTGAACAGGGAGGCTGCGTCTCTCAGATAAGGCAGAGAAGCCGTTTTGAGCCCACAAACACCACTGTAAATAACAGCAAGCCCTGCTCTTGGGGAATGAGGATTCAGTGCCGGTGAAGTGAGAAGTTCCCAATAGAGTTGCTATTTATAGAAGAAGCCTAGACGGCCCAAACAGTTCACTGTGGTAGGGAGCTCGTTTCAATTAGCATCTGACTTTTGCTTTGGGCAAAATGGCTTTGTGGAACAAAACCCATTATTTTCTTTCTAAAAGGATTCTACTGCATAGGCCAGACAGAAGGTGCCACCCCTTCCCCACCTAATCACACATACATCCCCCAGACCAAAGACTGCGATAAGACTCGCCTACCCACCGGAAAAGGAAACAGTCTTTGGAGGGAATCGGCCCCCACTGGAGAAGGAAAAGGCACCTCCCATTTACGGCCCTCCCTCTTCCACGCATTTTGCCATAGGCTTCAAGTCCCCTCACCACCTTATGCCTCTAATGTGCAGGCTACGTCCTTTATTTAAGAAGATAATTTGACTTCACCTGCATTCGTGTTCAAAGACATCATAAAATACTGAAAAACAGAAACCAACCTATTGTGCTATTCTACTTTTTGTTTCAATGTTTAGGGATTTGGTGTGAGATATCAAAGACAAGGATCGTGCCATTTTCTCCTTTTTTAACAAAGGAAACTTGTATGCTGATTTCCATGCTATTCAGAACGTTGCTACTGATAACCAGTGTGATAATGATCACGATGGTGAAGCTGCAGGATTTTGCCTCTTCTAGAGGTTTGCTTCTCTGCTCCTTTTGGTGGATGTCCATACACTTACACGTAACCCACCCTGGTATCCGAGACTAGGAATCAAACGACCTTGATATTTTAGAGGCGGAGGCAGGCGGACAGTGGGTAGAACCGAATAAAAATACCAGCAGTACGCTTTCCCTGCTGCCCTTGGCAGACACAGTCATTTCCTCGGGGAGCTCCTAGTGCATTTAACTCATATTTCCGTAATCCTTGGTTGCCACCCGGTATTATGATTTCTGTTTACATATCTGATTTCCCCAAAGCCTGGGAATTCTTAAAGTTAGAACGTGTCCTTTTTACTCATTTATTTTTTATCATCAGTGACGTAGCTAAGCAGAAGTTAGGAAGTTGGTGCGTCAGGTCGTTAACGGAACTATAGCACAGAAAGAAGGCTGAGGGATGCTGTCCATCAGATTCAATTCTGGGTAAAATTTGACTTCTGGTAGGGTTTCCAGTTTAGAACCCAGTGGCTTAAACGAAGTTTAGGAAACATGGAGGTTCTCTGGAAGAAAGCGATTTAGCTGATTAAAGATCTGGAGAGAGGGGCTAAAGGCACTGGATCTCCTCGATCCACAGAGGAAGAGACGGCAGCGGGAGGGGACTGGAAGGGATGGGTTAGTGCTATGGGGTGACTTGGGGAACACCGAGGTGCTCTCCACTTTGGCAGTTGTCCCCATTGTCCCTAAGAACAGACAGGAACTAGCTTGTGCAGCCACAGGCAGGAGTCGCGGCTGACGGCAGCGGGCAGACAGGCGCTGGGATTTTGGGGACAACGGGCTGAATTATTTTCTGGGACTGAGACTCTTTGTCAGATCTGACTGAAAGCAGGTGGTTAAAGGATCTATACTACCAGGGCCACCTCTCCCAATTTTCCATAATTCCCGGGATACCTGCTAAGTTAAAACTTTGGAAAATAGCCCAGCATCCTATGGGTGAACTGCCAGGCAAGGAAGCCTGGCCTCAGCCCGAGAGAACAAAAGGGCCCTGATGAGGTTTCCTTCCCATCTTCGTCCAACCATTCTCACTCCCTTAACATAAAGAAAGAAAAGGAATGAGAGGCATGGGGTGGGGGTATAAATCTGCAAAACAGCGAGACCCTCTTTACCCAAATACGTCTTTTCTTCGCCAAGACCTACAGGGAGGGGCAGAGTGCAAAGCAACCCCGTGGAAGACAGCCTGGTGTGAACGGCTGTTCCTCCTTAGCCTCAGCATCAGGAGGAGCCGAGAGGTCAGGGAGCAGAACTGGAGAGAAAAACGCCTCCCCAGACGCCAGAGCCTCGGCTCCCTCAGTCCGCAGCCCAGAGGGAAACTGGTGGGGCGGATGGGAGCGGCGAGGGAGGAGGAGACAACTTTAAAAGCAATTTGTTTTGCGAAGGGTCAAAATCAAGTTCAAAGGAGGGGAAATAAAGTAACTTCCCTACGACATACAATACATCTGTAGGCCAAACAGAGGCTGCTTTGTTAGAAGCTTCTAGAAACCCTGCAGACAGTATTCGTCAACAGAGTTAATTGTTTATGAGGTCCCCCTTGCTCTCTCTTAAAAACAAAAACCATTTTATTTTCTTTCCTGATCCACAGCAGCAGCCCTAGGTGCTGGCTCTCCTTTCCCCTAAATGCTGCCAGTGGGGCCTGCGGCAGAAGCCCGGCCCCCGGCGCACCTGCGGACCCCGTGTCGCGGCTGCAGCGAGCCGGGCAGGCCACCGGCCATGAGGTCCACCTGCGCTGCCTGATGGGCTAATGTCCTGAATCACGTTCTTCCCCTTCATGTCTCTGGCTTAGGGCTTCCAATCTGACCAGATGCACTGAGAGCGAAAAGCTCCAGGGGGCTGTTCCGGGCTGGTCCAAACAAACAGTGACATTCCCTTCACGCCACAAAAACCTTCGTGCTAGAAGGTCCCGTGAAACGTGAGCCGTCAACCTGGCCAACCACTCTGCTGCCAAGAAGGAAGGACAGGTGCAGGCCCACCTATCCCATCAGAAAGAGCTGCCACAGTCCAGATGGAAACGTCTCGCTGCTTACCCGGGCACACTCCACTCTGGCACACTCCGCAGGCTGGCAGGTCACTCGGCCACGGTCACACGTGCAGAACTCGCAGGCCAGGGCCGTCCACATTTCATCCTGGTACCGCACAACCCCATCGTGCGCGCAGCTTCCAGCAGAAGACACACATTCCTCGCAGCATTGCCCGTGCCGCTGGGCCCTGCTTTGACCCTGAGGAGGCAGGGGGAGGATGGCGGGTGGGGGCAGCCGCAGGGGACAGGGAAATGCCGGAGCCAACAGAGGCAGAAGGACCAAAACCCCAGCACTGTGCTCTGCTGCTCCCCCGCCCACCCCGACCCAAAGGGGCCCCAACCCTCCTCCCCGGAAGGCAGCCCTGTGAATCGTTACGTGACATTCTGAACACGATGAGACTTTTGAGTCCCTCAAAGGACACGCTGGACTAAGGAACGCATTTCCTAAACGACCCAAAATGCAACTTAGAGAATCAGGCTCTCCAATACCTTTCCGCATCTCAGCGGAGGGCAGGCCTGTCTGTGACACCCGACCTGGCCCCGGTCACACAGACACGTGGTGCAGGCGTTTTCACTCCACTGCTCACCATGCTGAGGGACGAAAGGAAAAAAGAAAGCGGAAAATCAAATATCGCATGCATCTAACAGAAGCACAGACACGTAAGACTCCCAACTTCTAGTACGTTTTTTAACCGAGCTACGTTGAATGTGCTCTTGAGAAATGGTAACATTTAGACAGAAACAGCCTCTATGAAAAAAACCAGTAAATGTCCAAAGAGAACTTTGGATTAATTTTCATTCTGCTGCATCTACTCCACGGATATGCTGAGGGCCCACTCTGTGCCCAGCACACAGAGGCCCCGGGACACCGAGGGGGACAGGAGGACTCTGCTGCTGGCTGGTCGGTGACCACTGCTCAGTTCTTCCTCTTTGCCAGGAGAGCGGGCTCTGGCTGCCACGCGCTCACTTTCCCAGCCTGCCCTGCAGCGAGGGCACAGATACCATCCCAGGCCTTTCTGCGGGGACCTCGCAGGAAACGTGCTCAAGCGGTGGGGGTCAAAGAGAAGATTCTTCCCCACCTAAACGGAGAAAAGCCCACCCCTCTCTCCTAGCTGTGCGGGGATGAGCTGCCTGCAGTCGATGAAGCCAGCACGAGGACGTGAGGGGACAGGACGAAGTGCAAATGCCAACATGCTGAGCATGGCAGGTGGACAGACCCCTGAGACATCACTGGGACGTGAACTGATCAGCCCTGCTGCTGCCCGGCCTCTGCACTTCTGGTTATATGAGATAATAAATGTCATCTCTTTGGCCACTTTCAGAGTGAGTTTCTGTTACTTGCAGGCAAAAATGCCGTGACAGACAGAAAGCCTCGCTCTTCAAAGAGAAATTAGTCTGGCACAATCCTGTCCAATAAAATACAACGCCAGCCACATATGCGGCTACTGGGTCAGACAGTGCAGATCTGGCACACACAAAAATCCTTTCCTAATTAGCTATTTTCACTCAGCTTTCAAGAGCCCTGTCTAGAATTTGTGAGACCCCTACCCCCTAATTCTTAGTTCCAGATTCCCTACTGAGAGTCATAATCCTAATTCCTATTTAGTGTTTCTTAGAGTGGCTGGTAAGTGAGGGAAGTAGTTGAGTATATTTTTTTATATTCTTTGCTTTTGAAGAATGTAATCTTTCGGCTCAGCTGGGTGCTCCTAAGGCAGAACATTCCTTCATTCATTTGTCGAACTCGGCTTGAGTTGGTGCCCGCCCTGCGTCGGGCACAGTTATCCAGGTTCCCCGACAGCACCGTCAAGCTTACGAGGCACCAACAGCCTCCCGACTCCCTTCCCTCCTCCGCTACCACCGCCAGGTCTCCCCCAGCATAAGGGGGCGGGAGTCGTCTCTGGATAGCCGTGCACCAAATCCAACCAAAGCAGAGACATTCCGGAGCCTCAAAGCTAAGCGTAAACTGATGGAGACCAACAGTAGCCTCCTTTCCCTTCAGGACGTGTGCACGACAAGTTCACCAGGGTTCATGAACCAGGTGCTGCTTGCCAGCACATTCCTTTATATTCCTAATCCCTTTCGACTTAATTTTTCATAAAGCTTTTCTGTGAAGAGAAGAAACAAGACGTTTATGCACTGAGTTACTGATCCTGGCCAAGAGTCAGATGTGAGGGTAGGAGGTCCGTGGTTGAAGGGTGGAGGGCAGACGTGTGAGAACGTGTGTCAGAACACCTGTGTGGGCGCGTCAAGGTTACCTGGTACACCTGGCCGGCCGCGGAGCAGGACGGGGCAGAGCACCGTGGGCAACATCTTCCAGGCACGCGGACGACAGTTTCATCCTTGATATCCAAAAAAGGAACAATCCATCAAAAAGAGATATTAATAAAATCCACAACAGCAGGAAATTTTATTCATAGCCAACTAGATCATGTGCCTCAAGCACCCACAACAGCAGTTTCCTCTCATTTAGCATCTGTGAGTCACCTGGGGCTCTGATGAGAATGAGCACTTCCAAGGTCAGTGTGACCCTAAAGAAGTCCGCACATGCCTCAAGTCTTGTCTCCTCTAAAAACAAATAAAAGCACAAATAATAATAAAAATAGTACTTGGTTTTTACTAGGTGCTGTCCTACGTGCCTTTCATGCCCCTATGAAGCAGAGGCTCTTATCCTTGCTTTACTAATGAGAACAGTAAAGACCAGAGAGATTGTGTAACTTCCCTGTGGTCACACAGGTGACCCGGTGACAGTCAATAGCTGGCACTGGCATTCAGACCATCAGCCGTACTAACACTGGGGACATTCCCACTCCTGCTGAATCACCTCTAAACTCAAAAGTGAAGGCCTCCTTCTCATGATAAGCTACTTCACTATTCTTTTGCATCTATATACAAATCTGCACATTTATGCATGCGCAGTCAGGAGGTCCTTAACATGAAAAATTTTAACAAAACCAGTCATATCTCTAGATATCTGGGAACGAGTCAGTGCAGAGCAATGTGGGTAACAGAGACTAAATACCAAAGAACCCCCCCAACCGCCCTATCCCTACATTCTCCACCACCTCCACCCCACAGAGTATCAAACCATCTGTCTCTGTTACCCCAAGAAGAATTTTCACAGCAACAGTCTCATTAATGCCAAAGAGTCAGCTTCTCGCTTTGACTTATCACGACAGCCTTCTTCAACATCAGAAAAGTAGGGAAGTTAAAGCCAGGGGAAGGAGGGTGAGGACAAAGTTTCCATGACTAAGAAGTGGTAGATCGTACACAGATGATGCCGTCTGAACGGTTATCTTCACTGTCTCTTACGAGAAGCAGAAAATGAGATTTTGTTATTATAGTCACTCTGATACTCATTCTGCAAGAACGAGAAGGCCCTGAACCTGGGAGGAAGGGGGTCTCATAGCCTGAATTTTCCATGGAAAGCCCCAGTCGTGCCTCAGTGATCCTTTAACCCAGACATGCAAGTTATATGAGATCAGTTGGATTCATGCATTTCACCTAACGGGGCTTTATTTCAAATGCCTGAACCACTGGAATTAAATTGACTACTGTTTTCTCTGTTGTAGGTTATTTTATTTCCTTATTATTCTATACGCAAAGTATTATGACCACTGACATTTAATAGAATATGTGAAATCTGGACTTGCATTGAAATCACTGAGCATTTCTTCACCTCAGACAGAACTTTTCGGCTTAATAAAATTTCGGCAGAGAAAGTAAAATAAAGGTGTATCTGATGTCACACTATTCAGTAACTTTATTACACCAAACAAAGGAACTGAGCCTTATACAGTGTTGGAAGAACAGGGAACAAGTGTCATAGTCACGAATCTTGAGCAGGCACAGAGCTAGTGTCCATCTACCTCACCCAACACGGAGTGGGCCCAAGAGCAGCAGCAGAGTCGCGCGAGCGTGTGCAGGGAGGGCGGTGTTACCCACATAGCGGCTGGTGCAAGGAAAATCATGCTTTCCAAATCTTATTGGCAACACCCTAACTATATACAGGGTAACAAGAGAAAAGCACACAAATTTATTTAATATAAGTTTTACATGAACACAGGAGTCTTCATAAGGAAATAAGACCCAAAGAAACAATTAAACCTGAGTGTTTTTTAATAGCAGGTTTGCTGAAGAATGGGAGCCACGGAGAAACGTAACAGGGCGAAGAGTATGACGCGATGGTAATGAAAGAAATGCAGCAAGGCCTGTCTGTCCAGATTCCTCTCTGTGTCCCTGTGCATTCGGAGATAAGGATGCTCCTTTTGTTCTGATTTAGGGAGAGCACCTCTCACAGGACGGTCTTACAACCTGCTTCAGGACAAGGTCTGAAAATCCTTCCTAGGTTTTATGACCTGCTTCAGGTAAGAAGGGGGTGTGGGGAGGTCATAGTGACCTTCCTGCTACTGCAGTTTGCTCAAATTCTTTCTGCTTAAAATACACAATACGCCAAGGTGCTGTATTCTGGAGTAGCATGTCCTGAACCCCATCAAAGAGAAAGAAATAACATTCTGAATATTCAGAGAAATAGCAGATTTCTGAACACTATTTACTATAGATCTGAAAGTGTTTAAAAGCCATTTTGCAAGTTGGACGCAGTGGCTCACACCTGTAATCTCAGCTACTATAGAGATTGAGGCAGTAGGATCCCTTGAGCCCAGGAGTTCAAGACCAGCCTGGGCAACATAGCAGATCCCCATCTCCCCCGAACCCCCAGAAAAGCCATTTTGCGAATTCAGTAAGATGCAAGAATATGTGGTCTTTATTAAACAGAAGCAGGAAGCAATAAATAAGGAATAAACATTGGGATTTTTAAAAAAGTAGAAGAACCAATGATAAGAGAAATAATAATTAAAAGAAAATTAAAGCAAAATTTTCAAATTAAAATCAATATTGGAGGTACTAAATATAAACTTAAGAAACTCTCCCCAGCAGAGGGAAGACCCAAAGTGAAAAATGGTGAAAGAGAATATGATTATAAAGAGGGGAAAGAGAGGGGAGCAACCTAAGAGTCGTAGATGTTTCTGGAGAAATGAGAATAACTGGAACAGATATGATTCATCAAAGCCAGAACTGAAGGAAACATTTCAAAAATTGTGATACTGTCTGAAAGGGCTCCACAGTATCCTAGGTAAAATACATGAAAAGATACCTCACCTAGAAACATCCCGAAAGATACCTGAATTATAAAGGTAGAGAGACACCCTGCAAGAGTGCACCCAAGTAAAGTGAGCTGCGTGTAGTAGAACAAAAAGCAGATGAACCTCAGACTTCTCCATGGCACTAAATTCTAGAATTCGATGGAAAGTCGTGTACAGGACTGGGATGGGAAGGGATTATAGTCCTTTCAAATTTTAAATCCCTCCAAATTCTTTCATGTGTGAAGGCAACATGAAAACAATTCTGAAACACTTAGAAGCTCAGAAGACTTACCAATCACCTATTTTTCTTGGAAAAATATCCAAGATGAAGTTTGAACTACTCTGATTAATCGGTATTAGGAATGGGGAGGAAAAAAACTAGCGGTAATAATTATCAAGAACAACTCTCATCAGACCATCTTAATGAGCCTCCCCAGTGGCTCTGTTCACAAGGCATCTGCACAGAAGTTCAAAGCAGGTAATTTCAGTATGAATTTATATCCCTCCTTAGAAGAATACCCCTTATTTCAACATAAGGAATTTCTCCTTTTGTCAGAAATTATCACCAACTTCTAAAACATCATTATATTACTATGCAAACAAAATATCCACATTTGCCTGCCAAAGGACTGGAATGAAGCACCATCCCACACCCCCAAAAATCTATCACAGTCTCTTCGAATGGTGGAAATATGGGCGATTGTTTTCCTTTATGCTTATCTACATTTTCCAAACTTTCCTTAACAAGTACAAATTCCATTTGTAACATAAAAAAATGCTTACATTAAAAAAAAGATGAAAATCTTTGAAGACAGGTTGAAAATTTTTCCAGAGTTCAAGCCCTGGAAATACACTTCTACTGAATTACTTGTGATTTCCTTATATTTAATGAACAAATGCATATAAAATGCTTGAAATTATGCTTCATAATGTTAGCAAATATTATTATTATGGTTGTTATTATACACAATGTTACATAATTCATCATTTTGGGGGGCAATATAGCATAATGGTTATAAGTGTGAGTCAGGTGTGGTCTCCTGAGGTTGTGAGAAAGAACCGCCTAGGTTAGAAGTGTTGACACCTCCTAACTATGGTAACTAAAACAAGTTATGTATCTTTTCTGAACCACGGCTTTATCAGCTATAAAATGGAAATGATAACAGCTACTACTTCATAAGGCTGTTATGAGAATTACAAAGTACATATAAAACACCCAAAATGTGCTGGTGGTGACAGAGATGGTAGAAGCCGGGTGATAAGTCCCATCGATAGCGCTAATTATATAGCACACCTTTACATCATCAGAACATCCGACATTTCAGTTATATTAAATCAAGAAAAATGGTCCTAAATGATCTGACAGTTGGGTTTCTAAAAAAAATGTGTCATGGCAAAAATATAGACTTAATGATACAAGAGTGATTAAAATCAATCTATTTCCAAGTCTTCAGAATGCTTGCATATTAACTAGCTCTAAAGTATGGTACCAAATTTCATCTTTTTACATTAATTATGTACATTGATGCAAACTACAGGTGAATACTGTGCATGAAGCTAGAATTTATGTTTAATGTTTTTTAAGATGAGAAATAGTACTTTCAATTATTCCCAATATCTGGTCCCCTAATCTGCTGTGATTATGTTTTTGAAGACATACAGCAGATTCCCGAAGGAGTGTTCCCTCCAGTCCTCCTTGCCCCTCCCTTCCTCTTGTGGGTGATTGAGCAAACTGCTTAATTACTGCACAAGGGGACTAAACCCTGAAATGGGCCGAATCAAAATGCCCCAACACTAAAGCATCCTCCAAATGCACAAGCAGTAGAGCAAGATACCGTACGACTCTGCTAAGGAGCTCCTTCGTCATCTCGAATCAAGGACACACCACGGTGATGAACTGGGAGATGAGCACAGTATTTGGTTGGTGCGGGTAACACAATCGAGTCTTTCAGTTATTAACAGATACGTTTCCCCTTTATTTGGCATTTTGCATTTCTAGTCTAATTGCCTTTTGTCACCTTTAAAAATACTGTCCAATTGTCACTATATGCCACGCTATTGATTTTGTTTTATTTGACACAAAGCACTGCTCTGTATCATCTCAATGTTGGCTTCCAGCTTTTCCTTAGATCAAAAATGAGCTATTTTTCGACTGGAGGCAAACTCTTTCTGTAGTTATTTGTCCGCTGCCTCGGCTCATCCATAGAAGCCTCTGGAAGAGTAGCAAACTATAAAATGCCATGTATACCACATTTATTTGCAGTTGATTTTCTCTTCCAAATCTGTGTGAAGACTCCAGTGTTTTGGAAATCAGATCCCCTTCAAGTGAAGAACAAGATCCCACTACCTTAAATATCCCCAGAGAAAATTCTTTGATAATTTGAACCATTAACTCGTAAGAATTAAATTATATACATTTGGATGATCATGTTCAAAGATATGCACGTCTTTAAAAAGCACCCTATATCTACGTATTGGAAAACAATAAGAAACCTGATCATATCACTAAATTTTCCAGATGTTCAGCTTGACATTTTAGAACATCTGCAATCAGAGCTGGAGCCTTCCTTGTGTGTACTCTCAGGGCTTAGTTTCATTATGTAACAATTAGCCCGAATGGCTGGCAATGAGGCCTATCTGTGGCTGCCAAGGGTAAGAGAAGTGCTGCGGAGGTGGTCTCCAAAACCACAGGACAATCTGATAAAATCTCAGCAGAGACTCAAGTTCTTCAACAGTGAAGTTACAGCCTGCGAAGGATCCACCCTGAGGCTGTCTTCCTTACCTGGTTACAAAACAGAGGCTGGCACTGAGCTGTGAAGCACTGGGCAACCCCATCTCTGCACACACATTTGGCACACTGGCTCAACCGCCAGTCTTCCCCATCCTGAAACACACGGCCTTCGTAGGAGCAGGGCTCTGGAAGGTCAAAGCAATATGGGTTACTGGGGGAATCGCGGCTGTGGATCCCAGGGCTGACGCACGGGCATGCAGGGTCAGGGCCAGTGCACAGGAGGAGACCCCTGCTTGGGGGTTAATACTCTGCAGTTGCTATCTTGACATCTCTGGATTTGTGTTTTCTAAGTCAGCAGTCCCCAACCTTTTTGGCACCAGGGGCTGGTTTCACGCAAGACAATTTTTCCATGGACGGGGGCAGGGGGAGGGGACGGCGAGTGACAGAGAGTGGCTGTAAATACAGATGGAGCTTTGCTCGCTCATCTGCAACTCACCTCCTGCTGTGCAGCCCAGTTCCTAACAGGCCACAGACCACCATCAGTCAGTGGCCCGGGGGTTGGGGACTGCAGTTATAGGTGAAGTCTGGTGGGGCTTGGAGCCTCAGCTCAGGCTTTGTCCCACCCCCACCGGCTTCCTGCTGCCTGCTCCCCTTCCCCTGCCCAGTGAAGGCTGCCACCCTCCACCCACAGTGGGGACCTGGGTGCAGGTGCCAGGAGGGTGCACGTGGCCCTATGTACCAAGGCACAGGGGGACCTAGGGGGCCTGTGAGTGCCTCCTCATCCCCTGGCCCAAGGGAGGACAATAAATAGCAAATAAAAACATGACAGGTTAGGAGAGCGAGACCACAGAGGCAAACAAAAAGCTTCCTCTTCCCTGCTTTTCGATGAGGGACCCTACATTTTCACAAATGCTGTACTTGGCCCCTGCCCATCCTCCAGTCTCTGCAGGCAAAATACTTCCAACATGTCATTGTCATGGAGAGAAAGCCTCTTGAAACCTAAGAAAGAATCCTACAATTCCCCAGGCCACCTCTAACTCTGTTCTTCCAAGTGTTTTCAGTTGCAGAGTTGATTATTCAGCCCCAAACTATCTGCTGCTCCGTTTCTGGTGGGTGACATCTGAAACGCATGAGGCAAGCTCTCTGCTTTTATCATGTCCTGAGCATACTTTTTAATCCCTGGAATGGTTTCCCGGAGTAAAGGATTGCCGGGATTGGAATAACTGGGGACAAGAATGAAACGGGGGTCTTTTTAAAGGGAAAAAGCAAGAATAGAGCGTAGCTTCCAGGTGCTCTTAAATAAAAGAAGTATTTCAGCTATTGTATGTCAGGAGAGCACATAATGCAGCAATGACAAAATTCCACACTTCGCACAAGCAAGTGTGGATTCCAAGAAGAGGGGCTGTAATGTGCCCCTGGTTTGCTGAACAAAAGCTAGTTCCCTCCGTTTGCAGACAGGCATCATCTCTTCAGCGAGGAAGCAATGAAGACAAGTGGAAGACCTCCTTTCTGCTGTGTGTGTCTTGGAGAAACATATGATGTCATCTCAAAGACCAGCTAACATAATTACTGCTAGCGATACTACGTGGAGAACTGACTTTTTCTTTTCTATCTACTTGGTGGGCAGGAGGAACCACTTGGTCTTACGGAATCATATCAAAGGATCTTTTCCCTACTCCCTTCCCACTCAGAGCTGTGAATGCAGAGAGATGCATCTGGCCAAAACAAAAATAAATAAATCAGAGACTCGCAGAATCCCAAGTCTCGAATGGAGCTTAAAGATTTGTTTCAGTCTCAATCTCTGAAACGTTGCTCCCTGCCAAGTGCAATTCCTCATCTTGGTTCTAATAAGGAAGGGGTTAGGGATCATTCGATCACACTGAGCAGGAAAGAGAAGCGTTGGGGTGTCAACATGTGAACCTCACAGGCAAAGAGGGAACCTTTCCACAAGCTCATACTCACTCCCGGGGCCCACACAGACAGGGCAGCAGCTTCCTTCAGGGATGAACTCCAGCTCCCGGTGTCCACACGACAGCAGTGGGCACGGCTGCGGGGTGCACCGGACTTCCCCGTGAGTGCATGAACACACGCTACACGGAAAAGAGGGCCACTCGGTTCCATGCTGTGTGTCAGGGAGAAAAAAGAAAGAGATCAGTGACAGAATATAGGCTTTCATTCAGCCAAAGAGAAACAACCTGTTCTTATGCAAACTAAGGCTGGAACTCAGGAAAGGTGGAATAAGGCTCTGAGCTTGCAAGGTTGAGACCAGGATTTCTAATGTTTCAAGTCAGGGACCAATTTATAAATCAACTTTTCTTTCTATGATCCCTAAGATTATGAGCTTGGAAATTTCAGAAAAATACAA